GGTTTGTGTGCGTCTATGACTCCTTCGTGGCTCAGACCTGAAATAGTCCACCTGTAAGGAGGAAGACCTGGGATCTATCACTGGCTTGAGAAGATCCCCTGGAGCAGGGCACAGCAACCCACTCCTGTATTCTTGCCACGAGAATCCCCATGGACAGAGGAGCCTGGTGAGCTATTGTCCATGGGGTCGCAAAGAGTCACACAGGACTTAGTGACTAAGCACATGACTCACATAGCTGTGGAACAGAAGTCTAGTGCAGGGAACACAGGTCCTTTCCTGGGAGGTGTCCTGGTCAGCCGAGGAAGTGCAGGCCAGGGATCAACACCTGCAGAGAAAGCAGAGAATCTTCTGCAGTCTGCCCGCTGCAAATGTCGAGTCCCCTCTCTGGGTCTTGTATCAGTACTCTTGGGCCACTCTGAGTCATTTTCCAAGTGCAAGAGGCAATGGTGAGTTAGTGACCTTTGAGAATGGGCAAGCTGGATCACTGCCTCCTGTGGGACAGGGTCCCACTTTCTCCATGAGGCCTGGGGATGGCTGGCTGGGAGCATCCAGGGGCCTAGCCGGGATGGTGCTGGCTTTAGTAAGTCTTGTGAGACTCGGACTTTGCTATTCTCTCTCTCTCTCTCTCTCTCTCTCTCTCTCTCTCTCTCTCTCTCTCAGTGAACCCCAGTTATAGTTCTGTTGCAATTCCCTGATTAAGAGAGACAGCTCACACCTCCTGGGGCAGATGAAGAGGAGAGGGGGCATAAGACTACATCTTGGCAGTTGGAAGGCAGGAGGGCAGCCCTGGGCATCGTTCCTGCACCAAACACCACACAGGCACAGGACGGCCTTTCATCTTGGCCTGAGGGTGCCCACGGGACTGCAAGCCACCTGGATCTTACCCCTGCCACCGCCATGGCCAGGACCTATGCCGTCCCTGCTGCTGGTCCGGGGACAGCAGCCACATCCCTCTTGATGGCTCTTGATGCCTGGCAGCCCTAGGGGATGCAGACTCCAGTCTCACTAGTTCCTGTCCTGAGGAGGTGGCCCTGACCATCGAGAGCCTGTGGCTCTGCTTCACCTGGCCTCCTGCCCAGATGGCTCCTTCTGTGGTGGTGGTGGGCCCCACCACTGTGCCCACCCAGATCTTCATCCTGCCCCCTGGCAGCTCCCAGTGTCCACGCTGGTGCTTCTGTGCACTACCTCAATGCATATTGTGGCTCAGCCCCAGAATGCCTTCTACTACTGCTCAGGTAGCCCCTCTTTCCCATAATCTCCAGCCATTCATTCCCATCATCCCCACCTCCTTCAGATGCATTCCTAGAGGAACCCAAATATGCACCCTATTCAGACAGGTAGAGGCAGCCCTGTGATCAGAACACTGCATAGCAATAAAGAACCTGAAAACACCAGGGGTTTCCCATCCAGCCCATGTCTTCAGTGCCTCCATCCTAGGCCTGGCAGAGCATTTGAGTCCCCTCAGGCAGCTCCTTGCTCGCGAAAGCAAGATAGATGGCCACCCACCCATGGCACCATGCGGGCACCTCATATATAGCTGGGCAAGCCCTTCAGATGCTCTGGACCCACTCATTTACAAGACACATCAAAAGTTTGACAAGAGCCTGGCAGAGTGGCTTCATGGGCACAGGGACAGTGTCCAGCAGGATACTCACTTGACAGATGAGGAGAAATTAGGCCTCTCTTTCTTGGGGTCCCTAAAAGAGCCCTTACTGTCCTGAGACCCATAGGGCTATATTGCATATAGGGTTATTGTTACCATCTTTCTAAATTCCATATATATGCATTAGTATACTGTATTGGTCTTTATCTTTCTGGCTTACTTCACTCTGTATAATGGGCTCCAGTTTTATCCATCTCATTAGAACTGATTCAAATGTATTCTTTGTAATGGCTGAGTAATATTCCATTGTGTATATGTAACATAGCTTCCTTATCCATTCGTCTGCTGATGGGCATCTAGGTTGCTTCCATGTCCTGGCTATTATAAACAGTGCCTCGACGAACACTGGGGTACACGTGTCTCTTTCAATTCTGATTTCCTCAGTGTGTATGCCCAGCAGTGGGATTGATGGGTCACATGGCAGTTCTATTTCCAGTTTTTAAAGGAAGCTTCACACTGTTCTCCACAGTGGCTCTACTAGTTTGCATTCCCACCAACAGTGTAAGAGGGTTCCCTTTTCTCCACACCTTCTCCAGCATTTATTGCTTGTAGACTTTTGGATAGCAGCCATCCTGACTGGCGTGTAATGGTACCTCATTGTGGTTTGGATTTGCATTTCTCTGATAATGAGTGATGTTAAGCATCTTTTCATGTGTTTGTTAGCCATCTGTATGCCTTCTTTGGAGAAATGTCTGTTTAGATCTTTGACCCATGTTTTGATTGGGTCATTTATTTTTCTGGAATTGAGCTGCAGGAGTTGCTTGTATATTTTTGAGATTAATCCTTTGTTTCTTCATTTGCTATTATTTTCTCCCATTTTGAAGGCTGTCTTTTCACCTTGCTTATAGTTTCCTTTGTTGTGCAAAAGCTTTTAAGTTTCATTAGGTCCCATTTATTTTTGCTTTCATTTCCAATATTCTGGGAGGTGGGTCATAGAGGATCTTGCTGTGATTTATGTCAGAGAGTGTTTTGCCTATGTTCTCCTCTAGGAGTTTTATAGTTTCTGATCTTACATTTAGAATCCACCTTGAAGGTGAAGGGTGGTGCATTGGGCATATCCTAGCCAGATCTTATAAAGAAAACTCCTACTGCCCTTGTCCTCCCACTGTCTCTTCTCTGATACCTGCCATTCACGAAGGTCACAGCTATCAGGGAGCCCAAGGGCCACTGTGCAGGTTTTCAGGGAAGTTCCATAATGTTGCTGGCCAAAATCTTGGCCTTCTCTGCCCACAGAAGGTAAATAAAAATACAGAGACAGAGTGGGCAGGCAATAGAAAGATGGCTTTAATTCTCAGTCAGCAGAGAGGGGAACAAAGTAGGCTCATGCCTCAAAAACTGAGCCCCCTGTCCATGAGGAATCTAGGGGCTGATATAAGATGGGAGCTCCTAGTCAGGAGTCAGTGATGAGGAACCAAGGAGTTAGGATCTTGATTTATTTATCTTGCATTGTTTCAAAGACAGTCATAGACTGGCATCAGTAACCCAGTAATTGAGCTTGGCAGTTCGGTGACTCTGTGGCCTACTTTCTGATATGTAACTACAAGGGGAAGGGTGTTGTAAGGGTAAACACCAGACACATGGTGTATTTAGCATAGATTCAAAGAAAAATAAATGTGACGTATAGCTCTTGTGGGCTTCTCTGGTAGCTCAGCTGATAAAGAATCCACCTGCAATGCAGGAGACCCCAGTTCGATTCCTGGGTCGGGAAGATCCACTGGAGAAGGGGTAGGCTATCCACTCCAGTATTCTTGGGCTTCCCTTGTGGCTCAGCTGGTTAAGAATCAGCCTACAATGCAGGAGGACTGGGTTGGGAAGCTCTTCTGGAGAAGGTAATGGTTACCCACTCCAATACTCTGGCCTGGAGAATTCCATGGACTATGCAGTCCATGGGGTCGCAAAGAGTTGGACACTACTGAGAGACTTTCACACTTTCATAATTCCTGTAGAGTTAGGGTGCAGAAAGGCAAACCATAGTTACAGACATGTAGAGTTAGAAGCAGTTTAACTAAAACAACTAGCAATGTTAAGTTCTGCTCACAGGAAAGGGGAAAAAAACAAAACAAAAAAAAAACCCTCATTCTTCTTGCTTTCCTTTTCACTGTAATGCTAACACCCAGCTTCATGACAATCACCTCCCACAGAAGGAATCCAGCTTTCAAAAGCCCCAAACCACCCTGCCTCAGGCACCAAGTGTTCCTTCTGGTACCCCACCACCTCGCATCACATTGCCTTGTTGTGTGTGACTAGGGGATGTCTCTCCACCTTCCTCATGTGACTGCAGCTCCTAGACCATCACTCTAGGTGTGGGGGTGTTCTGCTTCTCCTACTGTCCCCATCGCTAACATGGCCTTTCACAGAGCAGAGGCTTCATGAGGTTCTGGGTGAGAATAAGCCAGTGACCAAGGTACTTATTAATTCAGACCAATTGTATTCTAATTTCTTTAATAACTAATGCAAATCCAACTAAACATAGATACATTTTCGGTTTATAGAATAACAGATAACATAGATTTTAGAATTAGCTTTTATTTTTGTTCTCTATTTCCTTTTATCTTTTCCCCCATGCCCAGGAGTTTTGGGGATCATAGTTCCCCAACCACGGATTGAATCTGAGCCCCAGTAGTGAAAGCTCTGAGTCCTAACCACTGCATTGTTGGAGAATTCCCAATTTCTGTATTTCTTGACTCCATCAACTTTATTGTTCTTTCCCATTTCCAAGACAATTCCTATTCCAGTGAAATGTTAGCTTGTTCCGGGTCACAAAATAAAGTAGGAGAGTTCCCAGTGTCCTTTACAAAACAGCAAAACTCCTATCCTTAAACTGAGTAAGTACCAATACACGTGTGAGCCCTGTCTTTCACAAAGTTATATATTGAAGTTTATTAAGCCTTCGGCTGAAAAAAATATTGAAAAATTCCTAAAGAAAACAGAGATGAATTTCCATGTCAGTGTGGAAAGAAGGAACCCAAAGATGCTACACACCATGTCCCCCCAACTGGCCCAGGCCCTCATGAGGGAGAAGGCTGGCCATCCCTCTTCAATCACAGAGGGAAGGATCAGCCTCCTTTCCTGCCCCCAGGACACACTATTGGGCATAGGATTGGAAGGAGCCTGGCTACTGCTCTGGCTCAGGGCCCCTCTTCCTCCTCCCTGGCAGCCTCTGCAGATAGGAGGGGGCAGGACCTGGAATCACCTTGATTGATTTTGAGCAGATGCTCTAAGACGTGCCACTTGCTGGTCTCTGCATAGGCCCGGGACCCCACAGGAACTCGTAGCGAGCAGGGTCACTGTGGGGTACCTACTGATACTCCAGGTACCCCTCCTGAACCCCCCTGGGTCAGCACAGGGCTGACCCACAAATGTAGTGCTCCCTCTTGACATATATGCCCATGTCATTCAGGGTTTCCCAGATCTCCTCTTCATGGGCACAGTTGCCCTCCAGGAGGATCATGCCTAGGACCACCACCAGGTTGCTGGCCTTGGGCATGCTGTGCCCATCACTCACCATCCCATTGCAGGTGAGGCCCAGGGTGGGGACTAGCACGAAGATGTGCTTTGGGTGATCCACCTCCCTCACATCCATGCTGAAAACCAGCTGTAGGCACTCTGAGGCTTGGTGGATGGCCTCAGGGAAGTGGTGCCCGTCCTCTCTGAGGACCATGTTTAGGATTTCATCCTTCGTGGTTGGATCTTTGGTGCAATACTAGTGGAACAGGAAGCCCACCAGCTCCACCACCAGCAGATGCAGTGGGTCTGGGTGCATGGACTTTGCACCTTCCTGGTCTCGCCAGGTGCTCGGCTCCTCCTCATCTTGGCTTCTGGAGGCCTCATCTTTGGATTGGCTCCATGGAGTGGCAGCCATGATGGGGGGTAGGGGAAGGGAAGGCACACTGAGGGCTCTGGGTGGAGTACTGGGTGCTTCAGCGTCAGCCAACTCCAGCTCCTCCAGGGTGACCAGGAAGAGGACAGAGGAGGAGGAGGAAAGCAAGGATGAGGGGGGAAAAGGAAGCAACCTCCTCCTCCTCCTCTACCTCTACCACCACCTTCTCCTCCCCCTCCCCCTAAATGAACCGTCCCTCCACTGGGCTCTCAGCCTCCCTTGGGTCCTAAAGGTTGGCCTCACTCTCTTCGTGGAACTCGCTCATGGAGGAATGATGACTGGGATCAAACAACAGCCAGAAATGAGGCAGGGGGACAGATGGGGACCACAGGCATGCAGGAGAGAGGGGGTGTGAGTTGCCTCAGCTGAGAAATCCACCCCAGGCAGTGTGACACAGGCCACTGACAGGTCTCCTCTTGACGGGTGCTCTCGAGCCTCACAGGGATGCTCCTCCTGGGCAGGCTGTCTTCGGCTAACACAAAGGAGGAAGTGAGGTGGCTCCCAAGGGTGCAGTCAGCACAGCCCGATATTCCGGGACTGATATGGTGGGGGGAATTGGGCCTTGTGGGGTACTGTCTCTTCTGGGATGGGGAGCCCCTGATGCACACTCAGGGCTCCCACCTCACCTAGATTCCTTGCACTGCCTGGACCTCCTCTGATCTGCAACCTGCAGACACAAGCTTCAGACCTGGACTTTCACCTCTGGGTTTCTGGAGCCCCTGTGAGAGGAAACAAGGGGGCACCTTGGCTTATAGACTGTGGCATGGCACTGGGCCCCTCAGTGCTGACAGGAGGACTGGGCTGTACTCAGCGAGGTTACCCCTGTCCTGAGGTGAGTGGTCCCCCCTGTGCTCACAAAGGGCCCTCCGCTTCCTCCTGGCAGGGTCTGGGCCCTCCTGACTACTGTCCAGAGGCAAAATTCTCAAGACACATTCCCTGTACTGAAAGGGAGAAACAGAGGGCCTCTGAATACTGGTCATGCCTGCCCAGGGGCTAACAGGGCTCACAAGGGACAACAAGGGGTGGCCAAACCCTATGGATTCCGTCTGTGCTGGGACAATGGGCATTCGGCTCAATCTCCACCTTGACACCCTGGAGGGCTGGGGCAGTGCCTTCTGTTAACTGTGACCCATCTCCTTAAGCAACAGCCTTAACATTCATGACAATGGAAGTGAGAGCACCAATGAACCCACCTCTTCTGGGTCACCCCAGGGTGACGACAGGGGCAAGGCAGGCTGGGCTCCAAGTACTGTGTGTGAGGAGGGGTCTCCCCAGTGCTCCCCCTGACCTCTGAGAGGGCCTGAGGCCAGACCCTCAGAGGAAGGCCCCCTGGCCTTGACCAACCATCTGCCTAAGGAGGTGGACCTCAAGGCTCTGATGGTTTCTTGGGCTGGCAGGAGAGATTTCTGTGGCCCCCTGTTTGTGGTGAGGGTTGTGGTTCCACACTCCTCCACAGGGTCTTCACCTTGACTCCTGGCAACTCCAGGACTCCTCCTGCTGCTGAGCAGACATGCTCCCCAGATGGCTGCCCTGGAGCCGCCCTCCCCCTCCAGGTCCCCTCCGCAGCAGGTGCTCCCCCACTCCACTACGCAGGGTCCCAATTGTCCTGTGGGAGGCTGACTCCTCAGTCCATCCTCAGGACCTTCACTTTGATAGCCGTGCAGCCTGTCCTGACCCAATCCTGACTGATTCCCCTCGAAGCCTGGACCCGCCAGAGGCCCCCAGAGACCCCCCAAGCATCTTGGCAGGAAGAGTGCATCACCCCGGCCTCCGTGCTCGGCTCCCACAGCCCTGCAGGTGGGTTCCCTTCTCTCTGAGCAAGGGACCTAGCAGTCCTCCACAAGGGCAGGCTCAGGCCTTTCCTGCCAGGCTCACTCAGGGGCCTCTCAAACTCAGCCCCATCTCTCCGAACCACAAGGTGCTGGGGTTGGGGCGGGGGGGTGTTTCCTAGTCCTGCTCCAGGTCCTCCTTCACTCTCTGATGGAGTCTGGGCCTCTCCCTCTGCCCACCTAAAGCCTCCTGACCCCTCAATCCAGACCTTTAGCTGGTCCAAATGGAGAGGCTGCCCTCAGGGGGGCGGCACCTGGAGCCACACACCCAGGCTCCAGGGTAACAGCAGGGGCGGAGAGGTGGCCACTGGGTTCTGGAGTGCGGGGGCCGACTCTCCCTCAGGGTCTCCACCTAATGTCCCTGCAGAGCCTGAGTGGCCCGTCTTCATCCAGATAGGCCACTCCTCACACCAGGACCCCAGCCTCTCTAAGTTGGGACACAGCACATTTGCTCCTCTCACTTGGAGGTGTCCCAGACCTGGAGGCAGGGGCAGGTTTTTCTGGGGCCACTTCTGTTCTGGGGCCCGGGGCCCCCAAGTCCTCCCTCAGCATCCTCACTTTCACTTTGGTCCCATGTAACCCTCCCCTCTGCCCACCTGAGTGCCCACCCCTATCCCAGGCTCCCAGTCTCTCTGGGACCCAGATGAGGAAGTCAGCACAGGCTGCTTATCTCGCCCCACGGCCTCCCACAGCTGAGGGCAGGGCCAGTTTCTCTGGGACACTCCACCCTCACCCACATTCTAGAGCCCAGGGTCTTCCCAGTGCACCCTCAGGTCCTCACTTTCAGTCCCAGTAGTCCCTAGGCTTCTCATCTGCCCACCTGAGCCCCCACTCCCACCCCGTTGCACCAAGTCCCAGTCTGGCTGAGACCTAATGCGAAAGTCAGGACACCCTGCCACGTGCTCCTCTTCCTGGGGCCTCCCAGGCCTGACAGCAAGAGTGGACTTCTCTGGATACCCAGGTTTCCTACTGCCCCACTTTTCAGGGCTCCGAGAGCCCTTCACTGCTCCCTCTGCTCCTCATATTGGCTCCCTTCAGGACCTGGGCTCCTCCCTCTGCCCCATTGAATCTTCTCCCCTGAGACCCAGGCCCTCCCCCTCCGGTCCCCATTCCAACGAGCCCACTCGGGATCTCCCAGGAAGGACACAGATCCTGTGGGGTTCTTAATCCTCCCTCAGGCTCCTCCCCTGACCCCCCATAGGGCCTGCTTCCTTTCTGCCTGACTGGACCCTCCTCCCAGACCCAGGCCCGCACTTTCTCAGACCTCTGAGGCAGACAGAAGTCGGGTGACATCACGTGGGGACCCGTGGCTTAGGGACTTCCGGGGCTGCGCTGGCAGTGGAGCTGGATTCTCTGGGCCCCCTAGGAAAATGACCCCTCCCCAGAACCCACTCCTGAGGGTCCTCACTTGGGAGACCTTGAGGAAATGCTGCTGCAACGGACTCCCTCCGGGTCAGGTCTGCGCCTCTGTCCAGCTGCACCCGGAGCACAGAGTGACTCTGCATCCCAGACTGGAAGCTGGGTGGGGGGCGCAGCACCCCTGACTGTGGAGGTGGGTCCCAGAGGAAGCACACCTTCCAGTGTTGCCTCTCTGCCTGCAGCCAGACTTAGTTTGTTCTAAGATTCCTTCTCTGCAGGGAAGAGGTTGAGCAGTGGGGTCTGCGGAGGTCTTTTGAATCAACTTTTCTAACTTCTTATAGTTCAGAGCACTGATTTTCACTCTCTTAAGCCACAGTCAGAGTCAGAAATATATATTTACATCTTGCCAAATTTCAGGAAAAAACATCCACTCTTATGCTGCCTGATTCACTCTGATGCTCAATGCTATTCTCTTATTTCTAGTCCGATCTTGATCTGCTATTTAAAGCATAAATTTCAGAAAGACCAGTTCTCACCCTAAGGTGAGGTGATTTCAAGTGGTTATTAGCACAGACACTGCAGCCCTACTGGCTCAATCATTCCATTCTTTGTGCTGTCCTGATCTTACCCTGTAGTTTCTGTCATCTGTGGCCTGAGACAGTCTCCCAATTTACACAATAAAATATGGGCAGAAGCTTAAACTTTCCTGTTACCCATCCTGTCACCTGCTTCTATGCAGGCTACAGCTATATAGATATAAATACAATTTATTTCTTTCACTCTCCCTTCTTAGTTTCTCAGGATTTCTTTCGGGAACAGAAGACAGAAGCGCGATTGTCCTTTTGGTAGATAAATTTATAGCACTAATCCTGTAAGTCTATAAAAAATGAGAATTGATATTGTCACAGAATTCTGTTTCCCATCACTGGATCTGTTCTACTGATCTATTTATTTGGGAGCTCTTGAACCTGAATCTACCAGTAAGCTTGTGTAATGCCTCAATAAAGATCTTGTCTACATACTTGTTAGGATTTTTTTAAGATAACTTTTGCAATTTATTGGTATTAAAATGAGACATTTTCTATTTCCTGTTCTACATATCTATTGCTCTGGCAGTGTAAAGCACTTGCTTTGGCTATGGTAATATTCCACCCCCTATTTTTCTGAACTCTCTTATTCATTTGACTATTCCAAGGGCTCATTTCTTTGAATTTGCTAGATAGATGATCATTTTGTAATATGGAATATTAATTTTTCAGTATGCATTTATATTGTATAATATAAAGATATTATATTTATATAGCTCTGCCTTTCTGTTTCGGGGCAGCTTCAAAATTTAAAAGGGATAGATAACATGCTTCTAGGGCTTGTCCCTAGCAAGAACGCTTCTAACATTTCACATTGCTGTATGCTTATATATGTGTATGTATGTATACATATACATGATTTATGTATGCTGTATGTTTATATATGTGTGTGCACACACATATATGTGTATATACAGCTATGTATTTATAGTTATTTTAAGTTGCTAATTTATTTAAATCAAATGTATTTTAACAACATGCATTGTACTCTCTGCCCCATGTTTAAGGGTTTGGACATGTTCTTTTGCTTTGTCTATCCCTCATCTAC